CACACACACACACACACACACACACACACACACACACACACACACACACACACACACACACGAGCTCTCTGTTCTCTCCCTTTCCTGTGGCCTCCACACAAACTCTGCAAAAGACACACGAGTGTGGTTGCTGCAGCAGATATACAATGCCTTAGAAAATACAGAATAGGACTGCCACCTACAAAAGATGCCCTCCTCCGATAACAGCAATCCTCACCATCAACTCGCTGAACAATTGGAGGGCCACTGTAAAAATATGATGAAGTAATAAAAAAAGACTTCACCGGCTGGCTGGTATTCTTGCTCCTGTTTTAAAAACTACCCCATCTCGCCGATACTCGCCCTTCCTGCTGCTCCAGCTCCTCCTCCATCTTTCCTTTTACACTACAACCTTCCAGGTTCTCAAAAAATGACCAATCACTCAAAAAGGATTGTCCTCAAGCTCCCTCCCAATACTTTGCATATTCATCGTAGCCTGTTCCCTATTTAGTCTTCCATGCACCTTCCAGTCCCAAATTTCCAGTCCCAAATTTCCAGTCCCAAATTTGCAGTCCCAAATTTGCAGTCCCGAATTTCCAGTGCCAATCTCTCGGTTCACGTTCTGTCGTGTACCCGCCGGGCCGCCGCCCTTGGTCCGGCAAACCTTATATGTCAGCGAGCGAGAGTGTATATAACAAATATGATTGAAATATCCGCCTCAACCTCTGCCCGCTTACTCCCTATTCTCCCTATTGGTTTAGTTCCTAATCCTTCCCAGACTTCCCCCAGCCGCTAAAGAAGGAAATTTTTATGACAATCGCCAGTAGTACATGGAGACCCATCGCTGACACTACAACTGTAAACCATCGCTCGCTGGTCGGTTCCACGTGTGCTCGGATATTTGTCGCCAAGAACCAGGTCGATAGAAAGCAGGAAGCTGCGACCGCAAGCCATCGCAAGAACTCGAAAGGGATCACTGTGACAAACTGCCGCCAATGGACGCAACCGTTCGATGTGATGCACCCATTGCAGGGTTTTTTTTTTTTTTTTTTTTTTTTTTGCAATCACAAAGCCAATCAAAAGGAGACATGTCAGTGTCTGAAATCCATGCATCTGTTCATGCGCGAGTTATCAACACCGCCGCCGAGTCCCACTCTCAGCTATTGCTCACAAGTACGCTGAGTATGTAAGAAACTCCGAGTATTTGTTCTTTCATTTTTTTGCCAAAAGTTATAGTTAGCCAGTTAACTATCTTCGATTTGTTCAGTGATCGTTTTTTTCGTTGCGCAATAGTAGCAGAAAGCAAACTTGGAACAATTGATTGACTACAACAACTCCGCAGTCATCATCGAACGCAGAGGCAGATATGGAGACGACCACATGGCGGTTCCTGGTACAGTAGGCTCTTTAGAGTCTTCACCAACTCCATACATTGGGCATCAATCTACTACTCACCACACGCACAAAAGACAAAAATTATGGAGGTGCATCTTTCCACATTGTAGCGTAAGATTCGTTCTCGTTTTGCACAATTGGTGAGCAGTGGAGCGAGACCCATTATCAAGGATGCTCTGCATCCAAGGGAAACAACTTCCATTCGTGAGAGAGAAAGACAAAAGCAAACTCAACTCCTACTCCACCACATTTTTTTCTCCAGTTTTGCATGGGGGCAGKGGGKGCGKGGGGGGGGGGRGGGGGARGGGGRGSGGGGRGGGGGGRGGGRGGGGGAAGGGGTGTAAAGCGATGGGGAGGAAAAGCTCAACAGCCCATGCACTTTGTCACCCACCTCCTCCCTCCTGTTTTCCCCTCATCCTCTTCATCTTCTTCCTCCTCCTCCTCCTCCGTCCTACCATTTCCCGCTCCTCTACCTCTTTTTCATCCTCCTTGTCTTCTCCTCCCTCATCCTCGCCATCACTCCCCTCCCTTCCCTGCTGCCCTTCCACAGCTTGACGTGACAGCTCATCCGTTCCTCTCTCTCTTTTCCTCCTCTTCTGCTCTCTTCTTCCCCCTTGTCTTCTTACACTTGTTTCTTCGATCATTCTTCTGCCCGTGACGTGCACAAGAAGCGCACGCCACGGACACAGCATCCGCCCACACAACGCACACACCATGGATGATGGCATCCACCATCAGGTCACACTGCACAGTATGATGGTACAACTGGGGGGAGTACGAATAGGAGAGAAGGAAGAGGAAAGCAGGGAAGGGAAGAGGAGGACGAAAAGGAAGAGAGTGGGAAAGAGTCGTCACCAAGGAGTAGAAGTGGGTGACATAACCGAGGAGGAAAATAGGAAGAGGAGACGAGGAGAAGAAGAGGGGCGGATGTACGAACAGGAGAGAAGGAAGAGGAAAGCAGAGAAGGGAAGAGGAGGGCAAAATGGAAGAGAATGGTAGGGATCGCCACCAAGGAGGAGAAGCGGCTGGCAAAAATGAGGAGGAAAATAGGAAGAGGAGACGAGGAGAGGAAGAGGAAGCTAGAAGGCATGCACAGTACCCAACACCTTGAATGGTAAACAGTTAAAAAACAAAGTGATTCTCCTTATTGTGCGCCTTTTCCGGTCCGAGGTTCACGGTTCGTTGAAGTCCCCAGCTCACCGCAGTTTCAGTTTCAGAACCTGGTGGTTTAGCATAGCACCGGGATTTGGGAATTTTGGGTACGATAAGGTACTAAGTTTTGGACCAGGTTCTAAGTCTCAAACCTGGTCCAAAACTTCGAACCTGATTCAAGTTGCCGAAGCTGAGGCAACTGCCCAACATCCTGCCTTGGACATATATACATACATGGTGCCCACCTCAGGGTATCACTTGTCGGGCGGTCGTTGATGCTTAACCACAGCCGGGGTTAAGGTGGATTATCACTTACACTGTAATCAGTCAGGGGATTCTGCGGACTGTAGAGGGTTCAGCCTCCTGATGAGTCGGTAGGTGAAACTCGGACGAAAAGTTTGTCACAGCCCCTCGTTTGTTGTCCTCTTCTCCCTCCCTCTCTGCCTACGTTTCGTCAGGCACCTCTGTTTGAGGATATATATATGTATATATATCGTCAAATAGAACTGCCCGGTAAACCGTAGGCAGAGAGGGAGAAGAGGACAACAAACGAGGGGCTGTGACAAACTGTTTCGTCGGAGT